GTGCGAGCAGGGCCGCGCCGGCCGCCGGGAGTCGGTCCCCGGCCAAAAAGAAAAACAAGTCCTCGGGGAGACGCAGCAAGTGCCCTCGGAGTAAGAGAAGTCAAGTCCTCATTCGACGGTCACGTGAGGACCATCCTCGGAGAGGACGAGCGCACCGGCAGCATCGGGAACGTGGGAACTAGAGCACCGGAGAGCTAGGAACAGCGACCGAGACAGACGCCGGGGCCATTCCCATCGAAGAAGCTGCAGCCAGAGGCCTGGGAGAGGACAGGCTCAGGGACGGGATCCGGGAAGGAGAGCGGGAGTCTGACAACGCCAGGCGCCGGGACCATCGCCGGAAGAGTGAGGTCAGTGGCAGCGGTAACGAGTCTCAGGAGTTGGTTCCTCGACCTGGTAGCTAAGGAAGAAGAGGTGCCCGTTAAAGAAAAAACAAGCTTTGGGACCAGCAGTTAGCGTAATGGCTAAGTCGCTGGACTCCCATGTAGCCGGCCGTGGTTCGTGTCCCGGACCCGGTGGCTTAAAACTCACGCCGGACGCGTGTGCGTGCGTGCCCAGGATCCCGAGAGGAGAATGGAGGAGAAGGGGTTGGGCATGGCCATCCCCCACCCCCGGGGGGTAATTTCTCGCTTTCTGTCTCTCTTGTCTCTCTCTGTCTGGCGAGCGCACGCGCCCTATAGGGAAAACCTCTCCAGAAAAAATGACGAGGTGCTTCCCGTCAGGTACAGCCATGGACAAAGTGCGTACCTCCTGGGTCGGCACTGCCGCATCACCGGCATTCCCATTGACCGTCCCTCTTGTTCAAAGCGGCGCGCCGTCTTTCAGTGTGGGCTTGTGCAGTGCGTGCTGATGGCACAGTCGGCCCAAGGGTGAAGCCCTGTATCATTGACCTCGGTTCAGGCAACAGAACCTTCTTGAACAATAAGCGTATTGAGCCACACAGATACTATGAACTGAAAGAAAAGGATGTTCTTAAATTTGGGTTCAGTAGCCGAGAGTATGTTTTGCTCCACGAGTCATCGGACACCTCTGAAGTAGACAGGAAAGAAGATGAGGATGACGAGGAGGAACAGGAAGTGTCACACAGCTAGCAAACTAAGAAACAAGCTGTTGACACCTTTTCCTTCTTGGAAGGCTTTGGGATTGACTCAGAGAGTACCGTGGTGTTCTCTGTAATGCCTCTTATGGCCGTAAGTCTTTCCTCTGTTGCTGACCAGCTTATGTTACAGTTTAAGAACACTGACTTCGGTTTCCTTGAACTTTTTTCTGTGGAACATGAGCCACATGCCTGTAGGCATTTGTTTCAGAACAGTCTCAGCAATTACCACGCACTGTGTTTTAGTAGAAGCGTTGTGGCTTTAGTGGGTGCTTTTGGAACTGCTGCCCAGGAAACTGTAAACTCGTGGTTAAGTGGGACTTGTGGTTTGCTCTCTGTACAGTTACTTTATTTATATAGTCGTTAAGCTTTGTGGGCCAGGTTTTTTTGTTTTTGGGGCAAGCCAAAAACAGAATCTTACTAAGCTTTGGTTATCACCAAAACAGCCTCCAGTATATACCAAAGCTTTGACCTGGTTGAGCTCTTGAGTCATAGAAGTTGATTTTGCACTTAGTTTCTTTAGGATGGGAACTTACATGACCTCATTCTAATTTAAACAGATGCTTTATGGAGGGGGCGTTGAGCACCTCATGTATAGGAAGATCATGGCTCCTACTGGTGGGTGCTGCTTCATGTCAGGAGAGGCTGCAGTGGAGTGTGGAGTGGTTTCCTATAAGAGAATTCCTGATTTCTCCACGGAGCATGTACATAATAATTTTGATCATCTTATCTGGTTGAACTTAGTTTCTTTAGGATGGGAACTTATCACATGACCTCATTCTAATTTAAACAGATGCTTTATGGAGGCAGCGTTAAACACTTGATATATAGGAAGATCATGGCTCCTACCGGTGGGCGCTGATTCATGTCAGGAGAGGCTGCAGTAGAGTGTGGATCGGTTTCCTACGAGAGAATTCCTGATTTCTCCACGGAGCCTGTACATAATAATTTTGATCATCTT